ACATCCTCTTGTTCTCAATATTGGTTGTTTTTGTTTCTAGTTGTCTCCCTTGTATACTAGAAAATCACCTTTACTCCATGCTACAGATGAGATTTTTATACTACAAGTTACCCTTCAGCAGAGAAATTTTGGATTAATTCATTCACTTCTCACCAGTCTATCCACACCCTGTGGACTGGGCCCTTATCACAGCAGCTTCTGACTGGTTCTTTTCGGATCAGAAAGTGTCTGCTTGAAATTTCTGTACATGTAATTAGAACCCTGAGAGTTTAGAGAAAGAAACACCTTTATATAATACTTTATAATCTGTACATGTTTATGAGTGATTGACCCCTCTGAGGTTGAAATATAACAGATCCCATCTTAGTCCTGAATTGTTTTCTAAAATGACAAATTTTTTCTCTGGTATATTTTATATTCCTAATCAGATGTACATTTTTAATTTCTTTTTTTCAAAGACTTTATTAATTTACTTCTAGTAAAGGATAAGGGAGGAAGGGGGAGAGAGAAGGAGAGAAACATCAATGTGTGAGAGACACATCAATTGTTTGCCTCTTATCAACCCCAGTGGGGGACCCGCCCCATAACCCAGGCACATGCCCTGAATGGAAATTGAACCTGAGACTCTTCAGTTTGCAGACCAGCACTCAATCCACTGAGCCACACCAGCCACGGCCAGATGTACAATTTTTGTAGGGCTCTCAGCCCTTGGTGGTGACATTGTGGGAAACAGGGTGCTGACTTTTGCCATGGAAAAATGATGGCTTAGCGGGTTCTACTGAAAAGCCATTTACCACCTGCTATTCCTGGTTATATTTTGCCTTTTCAAAAGCAAGTTTATTTGATATTGTAAAATTATTGAAGATTTCATTTTAGTTGACTAGGTTCACAGCTGAAGATAAAAGCATAGCATTAATATTGAAAGATATGAATCTCTTAGAATAGCTTAGAACGCATTTCTCAGCCCTCTAAATGAAACTCAGAGGAGAAAATCAGGGACTTCTGCTTGTGATGAATCAGGATAATTTCTTCAGAGCTCTGAGGCATGAGCCCCCATTCTCCTCTGAGATCTGAGGCAGGTTACTTATTCATTACAGAATGAAAACAAAACCACCTACTTCATGAGGTTGGTGTTAATATAAATGTCATGTATGGAGCGCCAGGGCTGGCTCAGTGTCATCCCTCATTGAGTTCCAGTGAGTATTTCCCCGCCCTAAGATGGAAGAACAGCTGTGGTCCCACGAGAATTCTAGATTATAGTGTTATGGTCCACTTCTGAGTAAAGAAGAATTTGATGGCAAAACTATGGCAGCAATCTGTTTAAATAAACAGACTAATGAAAAAAACACATACACGTTTGACTCAATTTTGGTGATTTTGAAAGCACTCTTGATTTTGTGATACCAACCAGATTCCCCCTTTTTTTTCTCTCAAGATTTGCCGCCCCTTTCTCTAGGTAATCTAAGGCAGCATTTCTGGTATATAAAAATTCTGAAGATATTCAGAAGCCAGTTCTCCCAAACTGTGACTTCACAAAGTCTGGCTACCTTTCACATATTCCTTTTTTTATTATTAATTTTTTGCATTTTATTTAACCTTTATTGTAATTTTTCCATTACCTTTTAGTTCACTTATGACCCCCTTCCCCCAGCAATCACCATGCTGTGGTAGCATGTGTCACTGATGGTCATTGACACCAATTCAACGCCAACAAGAATCTTAAATTTGGGGTGCGGTGAAGAAGGAAACTTTATTCAGTGCAAAGCAGCTCAATTCTGGTGTAGCAAGGCTGTGAGCTGGTCCTGGGTCCAGGCAGCCTTATTCGGGTACACATATATGATTTGCTCTGCTCCTGGCTGGTTTGCCTGCTCTGTTACAGATCTTCTTTGCCCTGTATTGATTTTCTCTAGTCTGTGCTAGTCTGCTGTGACCCATGCTGGTCTGTTCCCATGAAACATCTCTGGCGTTTCCGCTTGAGTGAGCAACAACAATCTTCAGTGGAAAGGTAAAGCGTGCTTCCAAACCCAGAGGAAAGCTCACTTACATAGACAGAAGTCCCCGTCATAGGTCTTTGGTAGGTACTCCTCATGCAAATAAGGTTTCCAAATCTTCGAAGTTTCAGTGATTGTCCTGATTGGTTAGAATGGAGCCAAATGGGGAGTGAAGACATTGATGGGTATAGATAGCTATGCAGCTCCATCCAATTGGATGGGGAAAGCCTCAGTCCTGTTGGTTTCCAGGAACTCTTATAAGGGCTGGCTAAGACTGCAGAAACACAGTGCAGGCAGGCAGTTTGGTGTGGTCAAGGAGTTCAGTGCAGGCTTCTTCCTGAAGTGCAGTTTGCATGAGAGGCCCCTATGTAGAAATAACTGCCAGACTCTGTTTTTTATTTTACTATTTTATTCTATTTTTTAAAATGTAGGCCTAGTTAGCCACCAGGGCCCTTTTTAGGAGATATCGTCTCTCTCAGGGCCCACACCTGGGAGATAAGAAAGTAGGAAAGGCTCCAGAATTGAAGTCCTGCCTTTGGGCATATTTCTTCAGATATTACCCCTCCTTGGGGTGCTGAACTATGTCAACTGTCCTGAGACTTGCCTTTTCATTTTCTTAGTGGGCTGCTTTGCAGAACTGAAGTTCTTAATTTTCATTTGGTTCAATTTACATCAAAATGTCCAAATGCCCAGAAATAAATATGACAATAAATTATGTGTATATGTCCCATTAAGAATTCATTCTCTCCAGCAGGAAAGATCCACCGGACCGACCCGGGCACACAACCCAGGTACGCGGGCAGCCATGGGCAGATCCCAGGTGTGGAGTAGCAGTGGGCGGACCCACTGAGGGTGCAAGGCGGCAGACTCACCGCAGTCATACATTCATGCGCAAATAAACCGGTGAAGGAGCCAGCGGTGAGACAGACCATGCAGGCCCCAGTGGCAGGAAGCAGCAGAGGGGACCGCTATTGTTCCTCTCTGACCCTGCCCCCACATACAGCATCACAACCCAGGGCCCCCAGTGGCCCCACCCTGGTGAACACCTAAGGCTCCCCTCCTCATATGTAGCAGGCATGAACAGATCAAAACATGGCTCAAGAACAACTCAGAGCCCCAGAGCCGATAAATCTAAGCCATGAAGAAATAGCCAAACTTTCAGATGCACAGTTCAAAACACTGGTGACCAGGATGCTCATAGGACTGGTTGACTTTAGTCACAAATTAGAGGAACATATGAAGGCTAAACTAATTGAAATGAATGGACATGCACAGGAAACCAATAGTAATGGAAAGGAAACTGGGACTCAAATCAAAGGAGTGGACCAGAAGGAGGATAAAAATGACCAAACAGAAAAGGATGAAGAAACAAGAATTTAAAAAAATGAGGAGAGGCTTAGGAACCTTCAGGACATCTTTAAATGTTCCAACATCAGAATTATAGGGGTACCAGAAGGGGGAGAGGAATAGCAACAAGTGGAAAACTTATTTGAATAAATAATAAAGGAGAATTTCCCCAATCTGGCAAAGGAAATAGACTTCCAGGAAGTCCAGGAAGCTCAGAGAGTCCCAAAGAAGGTGGACCCAAGAAGGAACACATCATAATTACATTAGCTAAGATTAAAATGAAGGAGAGAATCCTAGAAGCAGCAAGAGATAAGGGGACAGTCACCTACAAAGGAGTTCCCATCAGACTATCAGCGGATTTCTCAAAAGAGACCTTACAGGCAAGAAGGGGCTGGAAAGAGGTATTCCAAGTCATGAAATCCAAAGACCTACAACCAAGATTGCTCTATCTAGCAAAGCTTTCATTTAGAATGGAAGGACAGATGAAGTGCTTCTCAGATAAGATCAAATTCAAGGAGTTCATCATCACCAAGCCCTTATTGTATGAAATGTTAAAGGGACTTATCTAAGAAAAAGAAGTTAAACATGAACAGTGAAAGGACAACAAACTCACAGTTATAAACAACCACACCTAAAACAAAAGCAAACTAAAAGGACAGCTAGATCAGGAGTGGAAACATAGAAATGAAGATCTCAAGGAGGGTTAGCAATAGGGGAGTGAGAGGAGGAGAAGGGGGGAGAAGGTACAGAAAATAAGTAGCATAGACAGTAGATAGAAAATAGATGGGGGGGCAAGAATAGCATGGGAAATATAGAATCTAAAGAACTTGAGACACATGGTCATTAAACTAAAGGGGGGAATGGTGGGGAGGGGGTGTGCAGGGTGGAGGGGAATGAAGGGGAAAAATAGAACAACTGTAATGGCATAATCAATAAAATATATTTTAAAAATAAAATAATTAATAATAATAATAATAATAAAGAATTCATTCTCTCCAGAAGTACGTGAAGATATATTCTAATATTATCTTCTAAAAGCATTATTGTTTTTGCTTTCACAATTAAGTCTATTGTCTATTGTCCACCTGGTATTAATTTTTGTTTAGGTTTAAGGCAGGAATCAACTTTAATTTTTTTCCGTATGAGTTCCCAAATATTCCAGAACCATTTATTGAAAGTTTCCTCCCTTCACTCACAACCTTGAAGTACCATATTTGTCAGAAATATGATGTCCATATGATTCAAATTTATTCAAATTGATTAAATTTTCAAAGTAAAAGACATTGCTAATAATAGCAGAAGAACAAGAGACATAAACAGGTTGTTCAAACAAACTGGGATGATGATCTCTCATCATAAAGCAGTGTTCATGTTTCTGGGCTCTCTGTTTTCTTCCATGTCTAACCATCTTTGCACGAGAACCCACTGTATCTTATTTCTTCAACTTTAGAATATGTTGTTTTTCTATTGAGTATGTCCTCTCATATGGTCCTTCAATATTGTCTTAGATATTCTTGACCTTGTGCTTTGTCATATAAATATCAGAACCACTTGGGATATCTCACCAAAAACAAAACAAAAAATCTGTTGTCTTTTAAAGTAAAATTTCACTGATTATGTAGCTCAATGACATATTTAAAATAATAAACTATGACCATAATATAGCTCTCCATTTATTTACATCTTCTTTATTTTTTTCTCAATAACTTTTATAGTTTTCTGTATAGAAGTGTTCAACATCTCTTGTTGGACTTATTCCTAGACATTTGAACATTTTTTGGACATTATTATAAATCCTTTTTCAAACATTTAAAAAGACTTTATATCACATAAAAATACAAATTAACTGTGTAAATTGTACTTGTAACCAGTAACACCTTACTTATTTTTAAATTCTAATAATTTAGACTTTAGATGAAAATAATTATCTGAAATATTATATTTGCTCTTATTTTCACATTATTATATATTTTATTATTCTTTAGTTACTGTATCAGCTAAGATCTTCACTAAGTTCTGATTAAGTAATTGCAATACACATCCTTATCTTATCAAATTACCAACCAATTTCTTCTCTAATTAAAAAAATTTTTATTGTTTCATTTTGAGTACTCATTATTGGGTACACACAAATTTAGAACTGTCATATTTTCCTAATGATCTGAATCTTTTTATCATTATGAGGTGTCTGTCTTTACTACTAGAATAGGAAAACCTATTTTGCCTAATATAGCTGCATCTACTTTTATGGTCAGTGTTTGCCTCACATGTCTTTTCTATTCTTTTTTCTCTCAAATTTCATATTTATGTTAGAAATATGTTTCCTATGACAACATACAGTATGTTTTTAGCATATAGTATTTTAAAATCTAGTCTAACCATTTTTGTCTTTTAACTGGAATATTTAGTCAACTTACATTTGAAATAATTATTTAAATATTTGGAGTTTAGTATGATTCCTTGCTATTTGTCATTTCTGTTTAGTGTCTCTTTTCCTCTCTTTTTCTTTCCCTATTTTGGATTGATTATGTATTTTTCATTTTTCCTTTTTTCTCTTTGGTTTATTTTGGAAGTTATGGACCCTTTTACTATTCTTCTTTTGGTTACCTTAGAGAGTACAAAATGTATTGACTTATCAGAATCTAATATAATTGCACAGATATATGCCACTTCTGGATACATTTTAATAAAAGCACTGTTAAGTGAGTTTATTGTAGTGCAAACACCATAAAGCGTACTTACACAAACCTGGATAGTAAGTTTGCCATAGACCTAAGTTATATGGTGCAGTCTACTGTTCCTATGCAAAAACTCTCTATGGCATGTTACTGTAAAAACAACATGACATTAAGTCAAGCACAAGAGAAAATGATGCAGTCGGGAGACAGTAAACACAAGATACATGAGGCTGCAGCCATTGTAACATTTCATACTGTTTTACAGCACACTGGTTTTTTATAAGTAGAAAAATTACCCTGTAAAATAATTATTAAAACTTACATTATAGTAACTACATAAATCAGTGACATAGTCATTTATTATCATTTTCAAGTATTATGTACTCTACATAATTGTATCTGCTATACTTTTATGTAACTGGCAGCACAGCAGGTTTGTTTACACCAGCATCATCAAACACATGAGTAAAATTTTGCACTACAACATTATGATGGCTCTGATATCACCAGACAATAGGAATTTTTCAGCTCCATTCTGATTTATGGGACCACCAAGGTAGATGTAGTCTTTTGTTGACCAAAATGCTATTATGCAGCACATGACAGTGATTGTACTTTCATTCTCTTCCCAGAAAATGCAAGGACTTTAGAAATTTTACCTTCATTTTCTATGGTCAAAATTTATTTTAATTTATCATATTCCTAAGTTTTCTTGCTCTTTGTTCCTTTTTTACAACTTTGATGTTCCTTTTACATAAAGAATATTCTCTAGAATTTTTTGAAGTCTGCTGATAATAAACTCTCTGAGCCTTTGTTTGCCTGAAAATACCTTGAGGAATGTTTTTCCTGGGTGTAGAGTAATTCTGGGTTGGCAGGGCTTTTGGTGTTGTTTTTCTCAGCATGTTAAGGAATCAGTCTACAATCTCTGGCTCCATAATTTCTGTTGATTTATGTGTTGTCCCTCAAACTGCTGCTCCCCTGAGGGTACTTCACCTTTTTATTACATTTTTATCTTATTTCTTTTATGATCCTTTCTTATAGTCTCTGGACTTCTACAGTTTTACTAAAATGTGACTAGAGATGGATTTCCTTGTGGTATTCTATTTGGGGGTTGAATAGGGTTTCTGAAATCTGTGAATTGATGTTTACATTAGTTTTAGAATACACATTTTAAAAGTTAGATCTTTAAATATTATTCTGCCTCATACTGTCTCATCTTCTCTTGTCCTATTAAGCATTTTCTTACTGTTTTCAGTTGTTTACCCTTTCTTTTATATCTTCTCCCCTTTTCTCTCTCTGGGCTTACTTCTTATAGCTGTCTTTCTGAAAGAAATTATTTCTTCTGATTTGACAACTCACTTTTCTTCTATCTCTGATTTGTTGATAAGTCTTATCTATTTTGTTCTTTGTATATTGAGTTGTAGGGTTTCTATTTCATTTTTATCCAGATATGCAGTGCCTCTTCTAAATTTCTAGTTATTTTCTGAAATGCTTAGTCTTGACTTTTATCACTGTTCCAATATTTGCAGCACTGCACTTGTTTGCATTCTTCGTGTGTGTGTGCGCTTGTTTTATGTTGCCATGGCTCCTCACTGATCCAATTATCTTTGATTATGTGCTGGATATTGTATTTTAAAAAGCAGGCTATAAAAATAATTTGAGGTTTAGGAGTAATCTGTCCCCAGAGATGATTTTTATTTCCTTCTGCCATGTGGCTCTGGGCAGTAGCAAACCAGAACAATTATAACCCAATACCAAGAATTGGAATTTTGGGGGCTGTCCAATGACTTACTTTAGGGCTGTGTTCTGAGCTGCTTCACTCATAATCATGGGGGTATAGCTCTTATGGTGCCAAATAAAAGCACATGAGTTATAATAGGAATTCCACTATTGACAGGTCCAAACTTTGCTTCCCTGTCCTTGAACATCATCAAAATCCTTGCTTCACTTCTCACTTACTTCTTTTGGATTAGAAAACATCCCTGGAGCAAAAGTGATCCCATTTTCCATATTCACCAGTTTATCCCAGATTGCTTAGTAATTCTTCATGATCATATCAGCTCTCCCTTGACTTTGGGCCAGTGCTTAGTTGTTTTGGTCTTTTAGTTGTTAAGAGGTCTGAGTTACCTAGTTCACCATTACAAGTTCTCCACATAAAATATGAATTGGATTCTAGTTTCTGCTCTGGAATTTACTAGTTGTTTTAACTTTCAACGATTTATTTACAGTCCATAGGCCTGTTCCTTCATATATAAAAAGAAGGATTTAACTAGAGTTGCTTGGGACCCTGAAGTTCAACTTGATTAACCAAGTCTACTCGATTAGCACAATTTACTCTAGATCACCAACTAGATTTTAGGATAAAAAGCCCAAAGAGAAGAATTACAGAATGCAGTGACTATTGTTTTTCTTGCTTTCCTATAGCTAAGGGAATCTAGAATATAGTAGATGCTAGTATTTTAAGGGAAAAAAAGGAATGCAAGGAAGATTTGCTAAAAATTTTTTTTCAGTGGAGGCACTATCATCAGGGATGTCAGTACTGTCAGTCCAAGAACACCATTTTATAGTCCTGTCACTTCCGAAATTGGGTGAAAACAAGAAGAGGGCTGAGATCAGTCTGGCTAAGAGGAATCTCAGGAAACATTATTAGCCAGTCCACCAGCTTTGTAGGAGTTAGGAAGTGCAGTGTTTCAAGCCCTATTCTAAGGAGTACATTTGACAAAGGTTTATATTAATCAAAGAGGCTTCTGTCCCCCATTCAGCATTGCATTAAGCCATCCCATTGCTGTAACTATCTGTATTGGAAGATGAAAGTCAAGAGCCTTTATAAGAAAACACAAGAATCCAGCTGACAGTGAAACCTTTGCAACCCCTCTTTGCTTGACAGTCTTTCCTACTACATTTTTCTTTTTGCAGTTTCTTGGCATTGTTTATAAGACACCTGCTTCTCAACTCCTTGTGATCCCACAAAAATTATATCAGGGAAGATAAAGGACAATAAAAAGGGAAGGCCAAATTATCACCAGGCATATCTTTAATAGTTTAAAAACTGGAGGATTGTAATAGAATACTAATCTCATAGAATGAATGGTCAGAAACGCTGGCCAAGGCAAGCGTTATTTTTATAACCCAAACTTTAATGGGGCTGCTCTCCTATATTCAATTTAATATCTGTTTTTAAGCCTCCCTTTGACAATCAGAGTATTTCTCTTTTGACTTCCAGAAATCTATCTGTGAAATAAATTACAGTATTATAATTTTTCCTATGGCTATCAAGAAAGTATAGCAATCTCATAGATTACTACATTGTCAAGATTTTGCACATCTGATTGATGCATTAATAGCAATCACTAAAAATTTTCAATATAAAAATAGAAAATAGAAACCCGTATCAAAGTTAATGGGTATGAACAGCCAACAGAGCTGAATTACAAAATGCAGTGACATTACAGAGCTGACCTTACAAAGGAAATTAAAGGTCTGTTTTGGGATGGTAGTTTTATTGCTAAAGAAACATGAAAACTATTAGTACTGCAAATGCAGGTAATAAAGCTCTGAGTTTGGCCTTGTATTTCCAGTCTCTAAGGGGAAGAAAGTCTACCTAAGAACAGGATGTTAGTTGAGGGATTGTGTCGAATTAAGAAAATGAATGGATGGTCGGCCACAAAACTTTCCTCAAACGTAAGTGCGCAGAAGGCAACGATGGCTGCTGTAGCAGCTGCTGCCTCTGTGCCCTCCTCATTTACTTCCACAAAAGACTTGTGGATGATTTTTGAAATAAAAAGATCACTGGTTCCTGACATGCCAGACAGATCAGCCCTGTTATTAAAGAGATCCTCTATACCCAGGCAGGCTAGGTGTGAGTTGAGGTTGTAGCTCTCCTCCAGCTTGAACTTGGGCAAGTGAACATTGACTTCAGTGCTATGCAGATTCTCAGGTTTGGTCCACTCATGCAGTTTTTCCAAAGTCAATTGTTCCTCGATCTGGAATGACAATGGGCAAACAGAACAGGTGAGAACAATTTCATTCATATAAGTAAGGTAATGAAACATTATTTAAACGAATGGACTCATAATATCAGTTGCTAATTAGCTTCCTTCATGTTTTGTGCCAGAACAGACTCCATTTGGAGGATTTCATTTCTTTTTAGCAATTGGTGATAATGGAACAGAGCTGTGTTCCAAGCTATTAAGGGCCCAAGTAACAGGGACTCTGGACATCGGCTCTACCAACTATCCATCCATCACCCACCCACGCATCCATCCATCCAGGCCTTCTTAAACCTCTTCCACCCTGGAATACTGTGATAAGAGACAAATGTGGAAATACAATTAAAATAAGGAACACCTTGACTTTAATACATTCTTTATACATGCAAATGGCTAATATTAAACCCCTTCCTGATAACAAGTTTGGTTAGGAAGAGGGTAAAGAAAAACCACAAAACAGACTAGAGACACTAAAGAAAAAACATAATCTTCACAGTTTTACCTTAGCCTGGCAAGAAAGGGCATCAACTTTAAATTATATATAATAAACATCATACATAGTTCACGTTAGAAAACAGCCTTAGCTTTCAAGCTAATGTATCACACAAGTCTTTTCTACCATGTAGTTCTTAGAAATTTAATTCACAATCTATATGAATCGTGATGAGAATGAGCAGCGTAATACTAGGATTTCATAGTACAAGATAAAACTATATACCAGACATGTTTTGGGCTTTTTTAATTTTAAAAAATTTGTTTCAGTAAAACAATTCTAATTTTGCTGCACTTTCCTCTAAAGTTTATTTAAGGGAGTTTCCATGAGCTGCCACTGACCTATGTTAAATTTAATAGGTATCTTTAAGTGGCCCCCACCAGAACCATTCACTGACAATAGCTGAAAAGTTAAACTCTTAGGGCTTCCGAGTAGCAAACATTGATGGGCTAATTCACAAAAGAATGCAAAGAACTGAAAAGGACAATCAAGCAGTATCAGTAAACACGTAAGAACCTATCACATGGCATACACACAAGGCAGAATTGATACATCAGAAGGAAACATGGAACACCAGTGCAGGGGCTGTTACCTTCTTCAGACCTGTGGACTCATCCTCAATGTCATCTGGCAGCAGGATAACCATGCTGAGCTCCTTGCCTTGGTAAGGCAGTTCCAACATACGACACTTAAGGTCCTCGATGTAGCCATATGGAAATTTATCCTTCTGATACATCATTTTCACTGTTTTTGTGTCTTTCTGGACAGTTGGAAAAACAAGTCGCTCACATTATTATCTGCTCTCTTTTAGAGCAAAGAGTAGTTTTATAACTACATCACCTCACCTTATTCAGTCTGAAAGGTACATTGGTCGTGGCCTGTTTACTGAATTTCTTCTGCCAGTTTCCTTTGAAATAGATGGCATTAACTAGCACAAGTTTAGTCATATTATCGACCACACCTACAGCCAACAATTCTGGAATTTTCCCTAAAAAGATAAAGTATTTAAAAAAATTCACATATCAGAATTCCAAATTTGAACTGACATTTCTTTAATAAGCTCTAAAATTCAATTCAAATAGATACTTTTTACTTAATTTCCTTTAACATATTAGGTTAGGAAGGCCCTACCAGGATGTTTCAATGTTAAATAAACCAACTAAAAGGGTTTAAGAGCTAAAAACAGGAAAAATTTCTGGAATGTATGAGAAACAATAAGCCTTATTTTGTGAATGGTCATTCTTTTTCAGGCATAAAAAAGATTCCTTAATGAAAATGGTTTTAGTTACTAGTAAATAAATTGCTTCTTCAAATCCTCCAAGTGGAAGCTACTCTCATAAAAAAGATTGTAACAAGTATCCAAAGGGTAGTAACAGTTACTCCACCACACACAATTTCCCCCGTGACCACAGCATGGCAGTGAAGAACTCCTTGTATGGGATACAGGTGTTCAGTAGGTGCCTTGACTCACTCCGTGACTAGAGAATTATAGCGGGAAAACAGCTGAGACAGAGCCAGTGCCACCTACTACCCCTGCACTCAGGCAAGATGTTGGCAAAAATATTTATGGCCACAGCAGTTTATGTCACAAGTATCAAGATATTCTTTTCATAATGTGACCAGGCTGGATTTTCCTCAAAAGTTTACCCTTTCTATTTTACATTCAATGTTAATTTTAATTTTAAAAGGTAGCTTTGAGAACTTACTGGAAAAAATATTTAGCTGCTTCAGTTAAATCATGTTGAAGTTTCCACTTTGGGGTATTTCTACATTTGAAAGCTGTCTACCACTGGGCAGCGGCAGAGTTTATTGCCAAGGTCAGGATGAGGGCAGAGGAAAAGGGCAGGGGAATCATTTGCTGGTTGGGAAGGTGGAAAGAAGAAAAAAAAAAGACCAGTGTGTAATGACTACACTGGACCCACTCTCTCACCTTCTGTCTGCCCTTTGACCCACTCATTTATCACCTTTCTTGCATCTTCAGAGGCACGCTGAAAATCCACACTGGCCAATTCAGCACCATACATTTTCTGAGTTGAAGCTAAGAACTCCTGTTGGAAAGAAAGAAAAAGAGACAGAGCGTGGCAAGGGGAAGGAAAGGAAGAAAAGAAAGAAAGAAGAAAGAAAATGCGTTGAGTAACTCCTACTACATACGGAAATGGCTTTCTAAAATCCTTAAAGCAACAGAATTTGCCCTAAAAGCCATACATTTTACTGTAACAAAAAAAAAATTCTAACCCTTATACTTTTTGCATTATGGTAAAAACATATAACATAAAATTTACCATCTTATCCATTTTTAAGTGAACAGTTATATAGTTTTGGTATTATATAAAATTGACCAACTCTTTTCCAACTTCTGATTAATATTTTCATAAATAAGTATATACTGATTGCTCTTGGAAGTAACTTATGGAATTCACTCTTGCTTTAGTAAAACAGCCAGAGTCAATCTGTTCATTGTGAAGACTATGAAGTGAAATCATATCAATTAATGGGGATATTGTCATGTTTTCATCCTGCATCATTTTCTGAATGTTTATAAAAATAAAAACTGTCTTCTGTGACTTGATTGTGCTGAAGAATGTCTGCATTGTCTAGTAAATTTTAGAACATGACCATAAAGTACTTACAGAGAGGAAATTACAGGTTTTCTCGCCGTATAACCTATTAGCAAGTTTCAGAATATAGGGAGCTCCATGCTTATTGATATCAGCATTCAGACTCTGAAATCTTGAATGAATATCCTCGACTGCATCAAAATGAAGAGTCTAAAATGTAAAAAAAATTCTTTCTATAACCATTTATTTTGAAACTGATTCCTTGGCATTTGCTTCTATCAAATTAGATTAATATGTTTTTATTATGAATTATTGATAATTCCCAGCCCAATACTTAATTAATTTTTCATTGGAGAACAAATAATAGAGAATCTAAAATTTATAACTTTGTGAGAAATAAAAATAACATTTGAAGCTGTTTCATATCACTTTTTGTTACAATTATAGTTCCACAAATACGAGTGCCTAATAAGCTAAGTATTTACACATCTGCTTTTTCCAACAAAATCATAAATGTATATTCATATGTAAATTCTGTATCAAATATAGTTTTAATGAAAGTTCTCAGAAATAAACAGTAAAAATAAGAATCATCACCTATGCAAAAACACAAAGATATTACAGATTAAGAGGTTTTGTAAGTTACACTATCAGTAACTCATTTAAAAATAACACCTATAAACTTAATATTTGGCAAAAATTTAATTCCCACACTACAAATCAAGTGTCCCTTTATGGTTTTATGAGGCCTGGGCTGGTTCCTTGTTTTAACATGCAAAGAACAAACCTATGCAATATACAAAGTTCAGTTACTTACCAAAATATGGAATGTTTGCATAGTTGTTATAATCGAATACAAATGTAAGGGAACCCCTAAAACTATTTTTGAGGTAATAAAATCCCTGGTGGATTTTGGAAAACTTTAATATACTTTTAATATCTGCAGTGTTAAAAATGGTTGGTTTTCATAACATATAGTAACAGAAGCACTGTGGCTGGAACAGGTCAATAAACTTGAATCTAAGGATGGACCTTGCTTAATTACAGACACCATATAATTTGTGATGGGTATGTTAGAAAGACTTTTGCTTTTGGGACTCATTTCCCCTAGTTTCAAGGAGAGCCGGAGTTCCCCTCTCAGAATTAAAGAACAAGTAGCCCTCCACACCCAACAAGGTCAGGTGGAAGGCTAGGCGACTATGCATTACTGCTTCTTCTCCTACTGTAAGAGTGACCTATATCATCCAGGGCTTGGTACTGTCTCTGCAGCTGCCACACCTCACCTCTGTCCTTTTCTTGTAGTGCCCTCCTGCTCACACAGGCACTCAGTGCCAGATACAGGACTAGGCTTCAGGAGTGCAGAAGCACACGGTCACCAGTTCCCTCAAAAAGGCGACACTGCCAACTTCTGTACTGTGATGTGTTTCCTATGTGTTATTTGTCCTTAAAAGTAACATTACATAAGAGGCACTATTTATGTGTAGCAGGTTACATGCAAAGCAGAAACACAAAATCTTAGTCCAAGAGGAGTTGCTCTAAAAAATTTGTCCACTGGAATAGAAGCAACACACTAACAAGGGTTTCTGTAGCTTTCTTCACTGCTGAATCTTCAGCCAAAGAAAAAACAGTACCTGGTACATAGTATATGCTTAGTAAAAACTCGATTGTGATTGAAAGCCTGCATAAAAATGAATTGTTCTTGGGGCTTTTCTGAAAGTCTGGCCTTATAACGTATACTCGTGGAACACAAAAATTTTAAATTTATTTATTTATCTTAGAAGGAGGAGAGAAGAAAAGTTCTTTTCCCTCGATCTGAGGGATTTCCCAGGATGTGCCCTGATGTCATTCGGCCGAAATACAATTTTTAAAATACACCGTAAGTATGGTGATTGGGGAGGAGGGAGAGAAGTGTAGAAGGGTAATGAAAAAATACAATAAAAATTTTAAAACATAATGAAGTAAAATACACTGTAAGAGCTCAAAGGTACACCTTTTTAGTACAAGCTTTCAGGGAAACCATACTATTTCTCTTTGTTTCTACTGACCTTGGACATCTGTGCTGCAGTAGTGCCTCTAGCCCCCAGAAGGATCATGGCCAGAGCTGATGAAATGCTTATGGGAGAGATGAAGATGTTTCCAGTAGGATTGGCCTCATTCAGGGTGCGGAAAAGGTCCACTGCAAACCAGGTGTTGGCCACACTCAGCTGTTCCATGGTGAAGGCTACAGTGTAGAACAGAGAGGCCCAAGCACACCAGCAAATCAGGCAGTGGCATGTCTCCATGTCTTCTTTGCCCTGAAACACCCTGGAACTTGTTCTTTTCTTTTCCCTCCTCTCCCTTCCCTCCCCCTTTCCTTTTTATCTTCCTTTTCCTCCCTCCCTCCCTCCCTTCCTTTATTAAAGAAGGAAAGAACACTGTCTCAGTAGCATAAATGTGGGAACTAGGGATAACTGTCCAAGGATCTATCAGCCACCCAGGTTCAGGACCCAGGGTATCCTAAAGGGCTCTGACCTTCGGGAGCACACATTTCTCACTCTTTACTTGAAATAAGAATGTTTCTATTAAAAAGTCATGCATTAAAGCAAATTCCACCAGAGTGATACAATTATCCTCATTTTTTTCAGTTGCTAATGTTTAGAGAGGTTAAGTGTCCCATAGCGGTATAAGATATGAGAGTTTGAAAACCCAACACAGGCCCCAGGATCAGATGCTGCAGGCCACCAGCCAGAAGGTGGCAAGCATCCTCTATGACACTCCCTCCTGGTGCAGGTGACCCAGCCTTCCAACTGGGTTTGGCTGCCAGCTTACCAGTCGTGACTTCTCTGAGAGGCTTAGCTTCCCCACATACAGACAAGGAAGAAGAGTTGTGCGGGCTGCTTTGCTTGCAAGTAATACACTGAATTATTATTGCTGTTGTTGGAAATTAATCTGTAGGGTCACCCTGGCCTCCTCTCCCTCCTTCTTTCCCTCCATCCTCAGAAATGGGAAGCGCCCCCCGCCCCCATTCCCTGGACTGCCTAGAAAATTTCACAGACAGCTCAGGGAGGAAGGGAGTTCCGGAAGTAAGAAAGAAAAATACTCCGATCTCAGTTCACGGCTCTGGCTTCCAGCCACATTAGCCCAATTTCCGTCCCTCGCAGCCAGGCCTGCCCCAGCGCCCAGGACTTATTGCGGGGTATCCAGTCTCGCCCGGGAGCTGCGGCACTGCGGACTTGGGGTCGGGGTGGGGGTGAGAGTGGGGTGCAAAGCAGTCCGGGCAAACACGCAGGGGTCGCGGCCTCCCCAGGGCACGGAGGGCCAGGCCTGTGTCGGGCGGAGGAGGCTCGCAGATCCGAGCCCTGGGGGCCCTCCCCTGCCTGCCACCCCAGTCCCACTTCCTCCAAGGTCCTCGGGCCCGGCCCTACCCGCTGCTCACTGCTTGGGTGGTGCTCCGGATCCGGGAATGACGGAAGCGCCTGCAGCGCTTTTATGTGATTGCAGAAGTGGGGCGCGGCTGCCCTGGGGCGGGGGAGGGGAGGAGGGAGCGTTCACTGGGCGGGCACAACACTGGCTCTTCCCCGAAGATGACTTCCTAGGAGTGTGGGCGTTGCCTTGTAGAAGCCTAGCCGAGGGTGGACTCCACCTTTTTGAGTCTGAGCAAACTCAGATCTGTGGCAAAGACCTGATGGCCTGTCTTGCCCAAGGTGTGAATGACTGAGATAACATAACATGTCACTTCTTAGAGGGCTAACTAGCCCTTTCTAGAATCTGATCTATATTCTCCAAAATGTGTGTGTGTGTGTGTGTGTGTGTGTGTGTTTGAGAGGGGAGGAGATGAAGATTGACAGATTCAGTTCTGTCAATTAATGGTCATTAGCCTCAATTCAGTACCCACAGGAATCCCCAATTTAGGGTGTGCTGAAATGAGAAGTTTTATTCTGTGACAACAGCCCAATCGAAATACAGCACGGCTGAGAGAACAGCACCGCCATGGAACAGCTCAATCCTGTTAAGCTCAGTCACAAAGCAGCATGGCAGCAAGGTGGCGCTCTCTAGCTAGCCAGCTCTGCTCCGGTCTGCTCCACCGTTCCCTTCCTGGTCTTCCGGCTTCTCTGGAAAAGGCAGCCTTGGGTGGAAAGGGAAAGTGTGCTCCCAGATGCCGGGAAAAAGCTGACTTATACTGAGAGAAGTCCCCGCTCCTCAGGCAAACGGGAACTCCAAATTCTCGCAGTTTAGTCCAAACATTACTGTCCTGATTGGTCAGAATGGAGCTGCTCTGATTGGTTAGTAAAGGTACAGCTACGGAGGTCCAGTTGGATGGGGAAAAGTCGTAGTCCTATTGGTTGAAAAACTATTCCAGGAACTTCTTTCTAAATTTTGGTCCAGATGAGAGGAGTAGAATGCATTCAGTTCATTGTGGAAGGCAGGTAGTTTAGTGCAGGCCTTGAAGTTATGGTATGTTTTTTGTGAGGTCCCTGTGCAGAAATGGCTGCAAGCCTGTTTTTTGAAGTTGAGACCAGTTTGCCACTAGGAATCCTTCTTGGCAGATGTATCTTCTTTCTCAGGTTCCCAACCCCAAACAACAACCTTCATTTCACTATCCTTAGAAACTAAAATAAATTCAGCCCCACCACTATTTCTGGAGGCACGGGGCAGGGGGAAGTCGTTTCCCCCTTAAATGCCTGGGTATGTAATTTCACCGAAATTTATAGTAATCTAGGGCCTGAAATAATTCTGTATTTATGAAACTTTCTTGCAAATCTCAACATAAAACAGAAACAAAGGGGAAAAAACTATTTTTTTTTACTATGGATAATATAGTATGAATGGGTTTCTAGATTTTTTTTTTTTTACTCTGAACACTGCTTTGTAATGAAAAGGGTCAAGGAAAATTCAATGAGTGATAAAAATACTCTCCGTAATGTTATTTTTAAAGAAAGAGCTCGATCACTAAGATTTTAGAGTGTTTTACCATTTAAATAAAGAAACCAGCATTTATTGAAGCCATTCATTGATAAATTCAAGTGATCAAATCTTGTAACCTCTCCAGCATTTCTCACAGAACTAGCTTCTACCAAAGAGGTCAGTGTGAGAAAGTCAAGAATGAGAGGCTGCACTGAGTTGTTAAAATTGAAATCTAAGATACGTAAATAAAAAAACATTTTTAATTTTGTATTTTCTGCTGACATTTTGTATTTGTGCTTACGTGGCATTAGCAATGTGGGTTAAATATAAAATGAAGCCATTTTCTAAATCAATACAGGTTCAGACAAAATTGCTCCTAATATATCAGTCAATCATACATTTACTGTCCAGGCAAAGTAACTATTCTGTTAAACAACATTGGAATGTTCCACTCATGGTTTTAAAATATAAATGGGCAGCCCTGACTGGGTGGCTCAGTTGCTTGGAGTGTCATCCCATGCACAAAAAGTTGTGAGTTCAATCCTGATCAGGGCACATACCCAAGTTGCAGTTTCCATCCCATTCGAGGCCTGTGCGTGAGACTCTGAATGTGTTACTCTCTCTCTCTTTCTCCCCTCCTTTACTCTTCATCTAAAAAAAAATCAATGAATGTCCTCAGGTGAGGATTAAAAAATAAAAAATAAAAATAAATAAATGGCCGCAATCAAAGTCAGGGATACTTATAAATTCATGATGGCACAGCGGTCTGGTATAGCATTTGCTTTATCTACTAAACTTGAGCACATGCATACTCAAGCTACAGTCCAGGAATTTCACCCCGGGGAGATTTTTCCCAACAAAAATATCTGTGAGCATGTGCACCTGGTGGCATGTACAAGAATAACAGCATGATTTGAATTAGACCCACATTAGAAACCACATAAATGCCCATCAGCAGAAGAACCAGTACATAAACACAACATAATAATATACAATAAGGAAATGAACAAACTGCAGCAATACATAGTGACCCAGCTGAATCTCACAAATATGCTGTTTAATGAAAGAACACTGACATAAAAGAGCTATGTGGTTCTGGTCATAGAAAGTTCAAAAACAGTTAGAACTACTCTATGGTGTTTGAGATTGGGATTGGACTGGCTGCATTTCCTTATTTTCCATATTCTTGATGTTGGAGAGACTGCTTCTTCCAGCATTAATTCCTGGAGGTGGCAAGTGACTCCCTGATGGCCCGTTGAGTGTACCTTTGATATAAATTCAGTAATCACACTCTCAAAGATCTCCTTTATCAAACTCTTCCATGCCAAGCCAATATTCCCCCTGTTCTAAACCACACCAGTGCCAGGTACCAACCAACTAGAGACCACTTGTATAGTACAGCCCACCAAAATAGTTAAGCTATCTAGTCTAAACTTAGTGTACCTAGCCTGCCCTGCTTATTCCTTCATGCAAGAATCCCTGTAAAAGCTCTGGGCTATGGTCTTCCTTCTCCCCTCTTTGCCTCCTGGTACTTCCCAGGGCCCATGTGGTGTGGTGTCAAATGGCTCCTGTTTTTAAGCATCTGTGAATTTAAGTTCTTCCTTTGTGACAATCATTTCCACATCAGATGTCTTACTATACCTGATTAGAACAAATCCCAGGTCCATTTTTAACACAAGAGTTGTGAGTGGGAGCAACAGTGGGAGCAATTTCTGGGGCACTGATAACATGCCATTTTTCGACACACATAATTACGCAAGTGTATTAATTTTGTGATAATGCATCGAGTTGTACACATAATTTATGTATTTTTCTGTAATTTTTAAATAGTAGCAACAAAAATGTTAAATATTAGTGATTACTTTATTTCCTGTCTCTCCTTGCTTTTTCCACACATGCCCAACAAGATTAATAAGCTTGAAGTGAGTTGTGGCTTTTTGTATTCTCTGGCAAGCTGAGCACACTTATTGCCCTTATTGTGGTCAGTGGCTTGTGCACAAATCCTTTCCCATCAGTTCTGATGTCAATCACTGGTTCAAGATGCAGAATAAAGAAGATGCAGTATTAATTTATCTAAGACCCACAGCTAGATTTAAAAAACCCATGGTAATGAGAAAATACCAAGCAGGAACCAACAGGTGTTTGAGAACTAATTGTCTGTGTTGTTGGCCTCTAGGTTAATTGTGTAGTGGTAAGAGAACACAATTGCTATATTATTTCAGTGTTCAGAAATGCTTTGACACTTGATTAATGGCCCCAAATATAGTCAAATTTTGTAAATATTTTGTGTGCGCCAGAAGAAATTATGTTGTAAATCTGACAAGGGCAACATTCTATATGCGGCCACTATGGTAAGTGCACTAGTAATTTTATTCAGCTCTATACTTAGATTTAATATACATGTTTATCATGGTAATGACTAAATATTAGTTTTTCTATTCACTACCAACAAACAGAAAATGAAATTTAAAAATGATTCCACTTAAAATAGAATTAAAAATCAAGCAATGGAAATATAGAGGCTCCAGCACAAATAATGCCCCTCTTTTATTAAAAAATTATAAGCATGTAATTCTATAACATAATAATATCACACCCAAACACTTTAGGTGAAATGTTCAAATTGCTGTTCATCTGGTGGGAGACATTCATGAACCCTACTAAGTGCATTCAAGCAAGCCTTACTGCTGCTGGACCCTGTACATATAAAAATATATTCAAAATTTCTATACAGAAAAAAATATTAAACATTATTAAGAGAAATTCTTTAAAAAACTAACTGAACACAAGCATATATCATGTTCATTGGGTAGAATTCTATATTTTAAAGATAACTTATTCTCTGTGATTTTTTACAGTAGATTTGTTATATTTTTTCAATAACGCTTAATATAATATTATATTAGTTTTAGGTTTGCGGCAAGATTAGACATTTAGGTACCTTATGAATTGATCACCCCCATAAGTCTAGTACCTGTCTGGCAATTATTCACACTTATTACAATGTTACTGACTTATTCCATATGCTGTACTTTACATCTCCATAAATATTTTGTAACTAACAATTTATCCTTAATCCCATCTCCTTTTTACCCATCTCTTCAAGCCCCTTCCCATCTGATGACTATCCATTGCTTCCATATCTTGGCTATTGTAAATAATGTGTCAATTAACATAGGAGTGCATATGTCTTTTGAATAAGTGTTTTGGGTCACTTCAGATAAATACCTAGAAATGGAATTGCTAAATCATAGGGTAGTTCTATTTTTAATTTCTTAAGGAACTTTCATACTGTTTTCTATAGTGACTGCACCAATTTACGATCACACCAACAGCGAACAAATGTTCCCTTTTTGCCACATTCTCACCAGCACTTGTTGTTTGTTGATTTATTAAAGATAGCAATTCTGACAGGTGTGAGATGGTTTCTCATTGTGGTTTTAATTTGCATCTCTCTGATGATTACGGTGTTTGACATCTTTTCATATGTCTGTTGGCCATCTGTACATATTCTTTGGAAATATGTCTATTCAAGTCCTTTACCCATTTTTAAATTGGATTGGTTGGGGGGTGGTGTTAAGTTGTGGAAGTCCTT